TTGGTAAGAACACTTACTACATACTCAACCCGTATGAAACCAGAGTGAACGCATTACACGCAAGCGACGGCTCGTACTCGATGATGATGTAAAGGCCGCATTGTGTCCTGCACCGTTAAGAGAACTCGAGAATAAAGAGAGGCAAAAGAGAGAGAAAGAGAGAGAGAGAGAGAAAAAGAGTGAGAGAGAGAGATAGAGAAAAGAAAAAGATAAAGGGAGACACACCGCGCGACCACTAACGTGGGGTAGATCCAGGCGCGGATAAAGCTTTATTTCATCAAAGGGACAACGAACAAGCCAAGATAACACCGCATAGTGAACGATAAAGGGAGATAGAATGGTATGCGTGTAATACATCGACGATTATGTAGATAGATATATTCTCCAAACTTTTGCAAATAAATCTTTTATATATACGTAAATGAATAAATAAAATAAATAGATAGAAAGAAAAAAAAATTAGATAATATTTTTTACTTTTTTTTGCATATAGAAATATTTTTGACCGACATTCGCTTTTGTGTATTATATATAAAATTATATATATTATTGTTATTATTATTATTTAACCCTCCTATGAGTGCTGAATACTTTTAACTGAAGTGTTTTCTATAAATGAAATAGTTTATTATTATTGTGACCACAGATGCTAATATTAATAAATTATATTTTATAATTACAATTTTTCTTTCTCGCAATATTATTTTTATCTGACAAGATAGAACAAAAATATTACATTATTTTACATTTACATTGATAAACACACGCGTATCAACTTTTACCAAACGCATATATGCGTCCATAACATTCAAAGGGTTAATATAATTTTTTGTGTTGCGAGTGTTGCTTCGATGAATAATAAAACAAAGATTTCTGAAGTAGAATAAGTATAAAAAGAAAAAAGAATAAGGAGGAGGAAGAGGAGGAGGAGGAGGAGGAAGAAGAAGCAGAGCTCGAATGTAAAGGTACATTGTCTTATGCGGGTTATCGGAAATATCGGCTTATGGTAACCTATATATAGAAAGAAAGGGGGAAGAAGAACAGTGAAACCTTCTTTCATGCGGGTTTATTGCGAATTAAACGAAGGGCCAAAGTATACGTTAACTTTGCTAAACTCTACCACCAAGTAAGTTGAGTTATATTAGCCCTATTTAAGATAATAATATCTTTTTATCTTCTAACTAAGATAAGATAATACGAACTAATTGAAAGATAATTATGAAAATTATATTATAAACAAAAAAGTCGTTTATAATCGAGACGAATTATTTTTCTATAGGATTATAATTGTCGTTTAAAAATTGTTTTTTTTTTTTTTTAGATCTTTATATATTTCGTTACTGATTTTCTTTGTACGGATCACGATTGTCGGTGTACTGATAATAATTACGATACGAAGATCATTAACGAAAAGCATTGACAATTAAAAATTCATTTAAATACCAGATTTACGTACTGAACCAATTTGATTCATTTCAAATGTTTTTTCTTACATATACACATAAATCTTAAATATCATTTTTCAAAAATACATATTGATTTTTTAATACCGCCATGAAATCTACATAAATATTAATTCCTCCCTTCCGGTCACTTCTTCATTCAAACGATGTTTGTAAGTTTTTAAAAAATAGCGAACACAAAACATTCGTAAGTCTACTATTAAAAAGTTAATTAAAATTGAACACACTTAACGTTAATAAAATTCAACGTATTCTCTCTTTATATAACATTATAATTATTTTTAATAATTACAATCGTCGTGTTAGAGTAGGAAGTAAGCGTTTACCCTCTCCCCCACCTCTTTTTTTCGACGAACTATAGTCGTTGTTAACATTGAAAGGGTTGAAAATCGATCGGATCGAAGTTTGGTAGAAAGAAAAAAGGAAATAAAACAATAATAATGGAATGAGGAGGGGGTTCAGGGGGGTTGGGGGAAAGAAAGACTGCAAGCTGGTCGGACACTTTTTATTTGAAACGAAGAAATCGCGCGGTTTCCATTCACGTGGTGCGCGTGGACCGCTTCTCTGCTTTAGCAATGTTGGATCCAGATTTCAGGGTGACGATAGTACGAGAATAAGGAGAGAAGGAAGAGGAAAAGAGAAGAGAAGAGAAGAGAGAAGAACTGGAGAAGAGAAAGAGAAGAGAAAGAGAAAGAAAGAGAGAGAAAGAGAGAGAGAGAGAGAGAGAGAACAAGAGAGCGCTGTGCGCTATTGTTTTCTCGAGTGGCACTCTCTGGTTCAATGCTCGCTCAGCTCCCGGTACCAGATGTGCGAGAGACCGTCTGGTTTCTTCCTTCATAGCTTGGCTCAACGATATATCTTATGTTTATGCCTTTTCTTTTGATAATTTTTCGTCTAAATCAAGATCCGGTTGGTAGTAGTAGTCGATATTACGTTCCAACATTTAATGGACCGTTTTATTTTGCATGGGGTATGTGTAAGATTATTTTTTTGTTTTTTTTTTTTTTTTTTTTTTTTTTAATTAGATATCACACAATTTGTGATTGATTTAGTCTGACAAACTTTTTGTTTTTATTTAGAATTGGTTAATATATTTTAATGTCTCTAGAAAAAAAATGATGTCTATTTGTTGTAATCAAAATTTGGCCAATGATAGAAATTACGTAGCGTTCGATTATGAAAGTGGTATAAGTTCATTTTAAGTTTTTTTTCTTTTACATTAGATATCACACAATTCGTGATTGATTTAGTCTGACAAACTTTTTGTTTTTATTTAGAATTGGTTAATATTTAATGTCTCTACAAAAAAATGACGTCTATTTGTTCCAATCAAAATTTGGCCAATAAAAGAAACTTTGTAATGAATGATTATGAAAGTAATGTGAGTTCATTTTTTTTTAAATCAGATATCACACAATTTGATTTAATATCTCTGAAAAAAATGCCATTGTTTTGTTTCAATCAACATTTGATCAATAAAAAAAACTTTGTAGCGATTGATTATAAAAGTGGTGTAAATCTATTTACAGCATATAAGTATATATTATTTCAGTGTTAAATTAGCTTCAAAAATAAATTAATATAATCGAATTATATATTAATAAGTTAATAGTAAACATTAGCAGACTTGACATAATTTATATTTTTGAATTGACTAATATTAAGTGTTATTACTAAATAATGAATATTAAATAATGAATTGAAAATTTTCATAGATTATAGATTAAGTTTTAGTTATAATTGATAATCGCTAAAAATAATTATATTGGTTATGAAATATACAAATTATAGAAAAAGAAAATATATACATTTGAGAAGAAAATCTCGATGCATAATAACGATATGTGACTTCAAATTCACACGTGGGTTTGCAGATTAACGTCATCATTTTTTCATCTGGAACCATTTTATTATCATCGCTGAAAATATTCTAGGAAAAATTGGTATGACAAAATTTGAATTTAAACGAGTCTGTAATATCCGTTATTCTAAAAACAACACTATTTTTTCTTGTTTTTTTTTCTAAATGTAAATTTTATTTTTCTTATCCATGAAGATTATTATGAGTTACATTACGATTAGAAAAGAGGGAAAAGGATTACATAATTGATTGGGTGATCAGTCGACCTTGATAAAGATGAACAAGTAAAATATTTTGGGTGTAGAAGATTATTAAAATATTTAACACACCTTTCTAGTAACTATGATTAAAATGATTTAATAGATCGTTTAGTAGCAGACAATGTATATCATTTGTATGTTTATGTACAATATGAACAATAATCATTTCGTGTAATTGCGTATCGTGATACAATTTCTTTT